TGAGACTTAGGCTTATTATCTTTATTTCTTTTCAGGGGCCTTTTTCACTTGTTGTTATTACTCATTGTTTAGATCCTGCTCTGTGGTGACCAGATATTCTTTAATCTATCAAATCGACACTGTAAAGCCATGTCGACTTTCATATTATATTTCCAGGGCCATTAGATGACTGGGTTCTGAATTGTAGTTGACTTGCCACCAGTATGATCTTCTTTCCTACTCCCACATGGATGTCGTTCCTGGTGGCCTGGATTTTGGGTTGTAGTTGATTTGCCAGTGGTATGATCCTCCTTCCCACCCCCACATGGATGCTGGTACCCATGGATTGTATTTGATGTAACGATGGTATGATCCTCATCCTACACCCACGTGGATGTAGTTGACTTGCCATGTACAGTCTGTCATGCCCTAGCCACTCTACATCTAGGACACATCCTTTTCATTTTACCCATTTTTATATTTTTGGGTTCGAGTTTCATAAATATTGTATAGTTCAGATCACTATTCTACCTTAGTTCTTTCCCACTTGGATGTGCTTCTGTGTTTCTCCGCCCATATGTGTGACATCTTTCAAAGATGGGCGAAGAATATACTTGGCTTAGAAGTGGTGCAGTTCCCCACATCAGATCTTAGAATCTGACTGTCTCTTCTTAAGGAGTGTCCTTTGGACACTTTCGAAGGATTCTTATTTCTTCCCTAGCACCAGTCCCTCCACCTATTCAATGTGGGATTCTAGCTACTTATATGAGAGGAGCTAACATACTGTATCGGAAGTTATAATTTTCCTGTACTGAAAATGTATTTCTGATAGTTACTTACCCCCTTCTCACACTTCCCATCCTTCCACCCCACTGAAAACTGTTGCTTTCATCTTCTGCCAAAACTGGAAGTGATAGTTCAGTAAAATTGAATAGAGGGAGGAAATTGCTTTATTCAAATCTTCCATAAATAGTTGTGAAATAAAGCAAAACATATATACCTCTATGAAACTTCATTATATTTGGATCACTATTCCAAGTTAACTACTAATTAAATATAAAGCTTCTTGTTGTATACTATAAAAAATAAAGCTTGTGATAAATTTTCTTCAATAAAACAATAGGGGATAAATTCATGCTTCTTGTATGATGTTTGTTTTGAAATTATTTGACTAATGAAATAGATATCCAATAGATACTTACCTCCTCTTACATAAACAGCTATTCTCATTCAGTGCTGCCCTCTATATGCAAACACATTTTTTAAGCATGTTAGAAACCTTTCATGTCCCCTCAATTGGAATTGACTGATTCCAATGAGTCTCTCATGCAAATCATAATGCGACAACCCTCCACCAATAAGAGTGCGGCATACTCTCATGACGCATGCAATTATGAAACAGTTATATTCTGTACATGCTTAAAGTCAAGTACTGTGCTTACAAGGTTCTGTCTGTTGAGTACTTTGTTACTTAATTTCTGTCATTTAGAATCAGCTCATTCATTGCATGTTTTGTAGGCAAATTTTGGGGTATTTTTTGTAGATATACACTTATATATACATTAAAGGTAAATACTAACTGGTTTTGAATTTAAATATTCCATTTTGTTTATCCATCTAGTGTTGTATAATGAGTTTTACTAAGCCCTGCTGTTGATGCTGTGGCAAAGTTTGTTTTCAAAGATTGTTTATTAACCAGAATTTATATATAATATTAGATGTTTGTATGAGGAGTTTCTCAAAAGTAAGAATTTTAAGTATGTTGTGTTTCTGTAGGAGCAGAACAATAATGTTTCAAACATTATTAAAAAAGCTAAGACAGCTAAACGTACTGCATCTGCCCAACGGAAGACCCTGAAACGTACTAGGAAGTTTATGATTGATGGAGTTGTAATGACTACTACTCAGAGTAAAGTTATATATGGTGAAGAAGACAGCTTTAAAGATGATCATTACCTAAGGTGATGTAGCATCTTATCTGTTTTGAAAACCTGTGTATATAGTATATTTAGTTTGAATTGAAGTGTACAAGTAAGAAATTATAACCTGACTGATTATTGCATCTCTGTACCAGCCCCTTAGTGATGAATTGAACCAGAATTTTTCTGTAGATCATTCATTTACATTTTAATGTTTTTATCTGTAGTAAAATAATATAATGATAATTTTTGTGTATACCATATTTATTAGCAACCAACTTATGTGACAAAGTCAGATTTATTTTGTTTTGTTTTGCAAAATCGTAACATTTAGCTGACTAAGCTTGTAAGGTTGGATATCCTATAGTTATGTTTTTCCTTCCTCTTGTCAGTTATTTTTAAACCTTAACTGCATCAAGCTTAAAACTTTACAAGAATATTAATTGATATTCTAAACATGGCTTTTCATGTAACTACTAATTAAAATTTGTTACACAGGTGACTTAATCCTCAATTTGTTAGCTCTTATTAAAGTATTGGAGATTAGAACAGTGGAGTGCATAGGCACTGATTTTGTGTAGGTGGGGATGGTCATATGCTACAAACTAAATGTTAAAAAGGTGGGATTCTAATAGGCTATTTCTGATAATAAAATACCATAAGAATTTAAGTCTCCCTTGTTTCAATTAAAAGACTCACCTGAAAACACAAATGTTACTTGCTTGTTAATTATTATCATCTAAAACAAAAGACCCTGCTATTCATCTGGCTATGGATATGCCTCTTTTCTTTTAAGAATCTGCTTTCAGTGAATACAGAGCTGATGCACCAGAGAATGCAGAGGGTTGGATATGTTTTATTTAAATGATTTTGAGTATGTAAATAAGCGAGTCACATGATAACCAGAGTTGATATAAAGTCACAATTGAATGGCATGTATCAGAACCACATTTTGATATTGCTTGGCTTATTGTACATAGTGATGCCACCAAAATGTATGGCATTTTAGAATGGTATGTAACAGTCCTTTGCACTTCAAAGTATTCATACCTGATGTATTCAGATTGGAGATTAAGAATTTCCAAGATGGGAGCACAATGTTCACTTTCAGATTTTATTAAATTATAATTGATTCAAATGTGTCTCATATGCTTTATGTGCTTGTAGACCTAAATAAAAACTAAAAATCACAATATTCTGTCTTTTCAAGTTTTTGAAATTAGTTGGAAAATTTAATTTTCAGAAATGTCTTCAAAAAAACTTTTTTTTTGCATTAATTTGTAGTAGCTGCTTGACTACTTCTGTAGTTTTTATCAATTCAAAATGGCTAGGAAAAACTTTAGTCATTTCTGAGACATACATCTTCTACTTTTAAACGATATTTGTGTTTGTTCCTGGTTTAATCCTGTATTCATATGCTTTTCAATGTAATTGAGAGAGAATACAGCATTCTATTAATTTATTAGTCAAGTGATATTAGTCCAGTAATTAGACAAGTAGTAAGATAGATGTAAAGAGTGTTTTATATTGAAATGTAATCTAAAAAACATAATATTATATACATTAACAATTAATGAATTTTCATGTTGTTTTTGGTTTTTCTTACAATGAGTACATTGTTTGCTAGACATCTTAGATCGCTGCACACAAAAAATGGGCTTTTAAAATCTGATCAAGTTGGTAGATTTAAGAGAAGTTTTAAACTTTCACAGATAGATATAGAGAAATATGTTTGTCTTTCCTAAAAATTTAAAACATTACCCAAGCTAAGGAAATGTGTTTGTTATCTCTTACACTCACTTTCTAGTAGGTTTTTAATTAATGTACAGATTCTAAATACCAAACTAATATGACATTTCTTTGCACAGGAAACAAGAGATGAGAGAACTAAAAATGTTGCAAAAACAAGAAACCAAACAGTTCCAAGATCTAGCCATGAAAGCACAGTTTTTAACAGAACAACAGGAAAAAAAAATTGAACAGGAAATGGCTGTAAGTAAACTTTGTCTAGAAGCATTTTTGTAATATAAGTGAATTCAAACAAATATCTAGAACTGATACTTTCTTGATTTTCTACTTTAAAAACATATGATAACATCATTGGGAGTAAATAGTGGTGTGGCTTTCTATTAAAATTAGTAAATAGAAGAAAAAAATTACATACCTTTAATGTTTATTTTCGTTTCTTTTCTTATACAACATATTATTCATCTTGACACAAGTCAACGGTGCCCATGAGGCTTATTACTGTTTCTTTGGGAGGCATGCGCAACCCTTTGGCAAAGTTTTCATTCAGCGAGTAATATCGTAAGCCTTGAGAATGAACAAAAAGTATGATGTATGCATTTTAAATCATAACTAATACATAATGACCTAAAATATAATATTAAGACCTAAATATATTTTAAAACTGTATCTCCAACTATAACATATTTAGGTAAGAAAACAACCATAAGTGCTGTAGCCTATCAAGCAGCCAACCATACTATGGCCAATTTCATATAATCCATGATGACAACTGTGTGCCAATTTCAAAATAACCATTGTTAGTTTATAGTGTAAAATGACCTCTTTCTAATGACTATACATATATTATGTACACATCTACATGTAGACTATAAAGCTCAAACAAATCTGTTAAAGGTGGGCATGACAACTGTCAAGGGTTGAAAAAAAGTTATCTAAGCATCTCATTGTTTAGATATACTGCTACAGTACTACCATTGTATTATTGAAGGTACAGAGTGCCAAAGTAGAGAATTTTCATAGCTCGTTGGTCACAATTCATCTGAAGTTTTAAGTAGTTTTTAAAGGTTTATTTTGAAATAAAGAACTTAAAACTTGGATAAAATAAAACCTTGAATCATACATTATAATATTAATTTCATTCACATACATTGATATTAGAGGTGTTTAATTAAATTTTGAATGTATCACAGTGACTTGTGCAGAAAAATGTTTAAAGGGGCTCCCGTTGTAAAAGGGTTAAACTCATTTGTCAGTGACATGGATTTATTTATGTCTGTATGGAGGTGAGATTAGGAAACATTTCAAATTCCGATCGACCTCTTCCTTATAATTCTTACATTATTACTTTTTTAATGCGTTTCTTCCTGTGCTTATCGACTTTTCGGGTTTAGTCGTTACTATTTTTGTTTTTTGGCCTAGGTCCTCATAAGAAATTATGATGCTGATCTGGAAGTCCACAACAGACAACAAAAACAAATAGTTGAGCGAGCAGAGCAACAGCAGGAATCAGAATTAAAAGTAGCATCCAAGAAGATCAGGAGTGAACAGGTTTCTGTTAAAAAAATTGAATTTACAATATATTTGATATAAATCATGCTTGCTAATCTGTATTTATAATTTCATTTTTCATGTGTTAAAGATCCCATAATTTGAAGAAAATAGATTGGATTAATGAATAATGTCTTATTTCGTTTGTTTTGTTCTTTTTTGATTTTTTTCTCAAGTGCAATAGTGTAAAATCGTAAAACATCCAATCCATACTTTTTACAATGTATTTGTAGACATTATATTTACTAAACACCTAGGTATTTTTTGTCATCTTAGCCTGTTTTTTTCAGTGACTCCCTTTATGCAGAAATGACATCACTTAGTTTGGTGGAACTATTATATATATCTTGTAATATATGAGTATTACATACAGTTTAATGAACTTTTACATCTGTATTAATTAATATTATATGTGGTTAATTTTTAGTAATGAAAATTTTGTTTTTCACATAACAAACACGATCTATCTGACTTGGCCCGGCATAGCCAGGTGGGTAGGGCACTCGACTCGCAATCTGCGGGTTCGATTCCCTGTCACACCGAAACATGCTCACCCGGTGTCCGGACTAGGATGCCAGTCCTACTTCCGGATACTCACCTCCAAAAGAATTTGGAGGTGTGAGAAACACCATATGAAACTACCTATTTGACTTTGACAGGAACGAGAATTAAAGTTATTCAGAGAAAGCATGAGAAATGAAGCAAAATTATTGAAACAAGAAGTAGAGTTGTTACCAAAAGACAAACGAAAGGACATCTTCAGGGTCAGGAAGGAAGAACTAGATCGTGAACATGCAGAAAGGGTGAGTCAGCACACATAGAGAATCCAGAGTTTCATTTTGGATAGTAGGAAGAGAAATGCTTCATATTTTTAGCTTTATGAGTGGCCACATGATTTACAAGATACATGTTTTCAAAAAGATAACTAGTACATTTGGGGGGGGGGGTTGCAGCCACCCCACTTTTCTATAATTTTGTGCCCTTATGCTATAAAGTGCACCCCTTTTAACAATAAAAAAATTCAATATAAGATTCTATTTCCTGCCTCTTATAGCTACAGGACAATAATGTATAATATTATATTTAAGTTTGATGTATCACCTGGCTGCATCGATATAAATGATATATGCTGAAATTATATGGCACCTATCCAGGAATCGCCTGGCAACCCCCTTTCCAAAATCCTAGATCCACTACTGATCCCAATAATTCATTTCTAAAACTAGAATTAATGTACAGTTTTTCCATTAAAAAGAATTAAAAATTGGGAGAAGATTAGGCTGGAGTTTTCTGGTCTTGTAAACAATTAAACATTTTTGTAATTGAAATTATATGCCCTTATATCAGATTATAAGTTTAGTGACTAGAAAAGTTCTTAAAAATATATCATTCATTTTTGTGTAGAAGATCTAAAACTTGGTAACTAATATAAGAATTCATTGGTTAAAAATTACAGATTAAATTGTAAAAAATATTAAGTATTTGTATTAAAATGTTTCGTAATGTATTTAATAATAATTTTATATTGGTCAGTTGCATTTATTATACCTTAAACTGTTTCAGTAAGGCGTAAATATGAATAAATGCTTACTAGATTTTATTGTTGTAGGAGCGGCAGTTCCTGGAAAAGCTCAATGAAAATCATGAGATGTCTATGAAGCGCTTGTTAGACTGCCACAGAGAGAAGATTGCTTTAGTGGAGACACAGTTTCTACAACAGAAACAACAACTTCTGAGAGGTAGTACAAAACTTGCAGTTTTTTTTCCTGGGAGTGAAAAATTTATTAATTTTTTTTATAAGTTCAGAATTTTTTTTTTAATCCTGATTGTTGTGAATTAGGTTATAATATATTTCAGAATAAAGTGCACAATTTTTGTAATTTCCCATTTATATGAAGTTAGTTTCTGATTGTGTAGTTTTATTATTTTGAGGATTTTTGTAAAGTTTATGAAAGCCTGCAAAAAAATGCATTTGAAATCATCAGAATTAAGTTGGAAAAAATTCTGAAAAGGAGTTTAAACATGAAGATTAAAGAAAAAATCCATATTTATGCTAGAGTTTGGAGTATCAAACTTAAGGCTTAGTACTTCCAGTTTATGATGTATTAATATTCAAAATAAGGTTTTTGGTTTTGAGTATTATAAACATGATTATCATGAGATTCATCAGTGTTCTTTGGGAAACAATCTTATAATAACTTTGTTATGATAACTCTTAAAAAAAAGTGATAGAATTAGCTGGGATGAAAAATAAAATTCAAAAACTCTCACAACTAAACAGGAATGTTTGTTTTATCCTTTGGAAATTTAAATATTGTGTATCTAAAACATTAACAGCTCGAGAAGCTGCAGTGTGGGAGTTAGAAGAGCGACATTTACATGAAAAATACCAGTTAGCTAAAAAGCAGCTAAAAGACATCTTCTTTCTGCAGAGGCATCAGATGGTTATTCGTCATGAGAAGGTAATCATTTTATGTATGCTAGTTTAACTTTCAGCCATATAGATGAGAGTTATTGTAATGTCTTAACATTGCAAGTATTGTTTGTGTTAGTCAATAATAAAAAAAGTTCCTAATTTATTTTTAATTTTATTTGTCGTGTTATTATCATAAAATTGTTTTTTCTAAATTCCATATATGATGGTAACACAGCAAAATAATAAAAAAACATTATTTATTTATTCATTATTTTAAAGTTTCTTTCCAGTTGGATACATTGGTTCTCAATTTTTAATGCAGTACAATGAAGTACATACAAGAGGAAAACCTGCAAATTTCACAACTTATGAAAAAGATGGCATTAAACTTATGACTACAGTTTGAAGTGTATATTTTGTTCACCTAACTGCTATTGACAAAACAACAACTACTAAAAATTGTAGCTTAGAGATGAAAAACGTAATTTATAAAATAAACTGCTGTACTTTTTGAGTAGCTCAACAGATGTTTTTATATTAACACTAAGATTCCTGTCTTGAATAACAACAGGTGACAACTCCTGTTCAAAGGGACCAGTTCTTGTAAAACATTTTAAACTCAACAGATTTTTTTCAAGAACTTTCACTTGCAATCTTAATGAATGCATATACATTTATTATTACATTATCATAGTTACATCAACTTGGTAAATATCTTCGATAAGTATATATTATTAGTTTACAAAAACGTTTTTAAATTTTGTGCATATGTGTTCAACCTTTTACCCATATGAAAATTACACAACTGCAACCAGTGGTTCCGAAAGCTCCAATGGCTTCTAGCCAAAGGAAAAGTAAAATATCTTTGAACCCTGCATTTACTATTTTCTAAATACTAAAGTTTTACATAAAGAAAATAATTGCTTATAAATATTTGTAAAACATTAGAATTCACTTGAGACAATGCATCTTTGCTTTCATAGTATATAAATTGATAAAAATGAAGAAAGTTATTTTTCTTTTTAGAAAAGTGTTAATATTTTATATATACCTGACTAGCTTTCTAATAAAAACCTTTGTTACTTAGGAATTGGACCAAATTCAACGAATGAATTTGCACAAAGAAGAAGACCTTTTGAAAAGACAAGCTTATGAGAAAAAACAATTACCTAAACGCATCCGACAGGAAATGAAGACCCGAGAACTCATGTTCCGAGAGAGTTTGCGAATCAGCATGCCTCCCTATTCCGAGTCTCCTAATGGAGAAAGAACTAAAATACGCAAGGTCAGTGAATTAAATAATTCCATATGTTTTGATTTTCTCTCCAACCTTCATGTTATGGGTAACAGGCAGCATCAGACTTCGAAAAGAGATTAATATATATATAAAGATCTAGTATAACAGCTATATTTATATTTGAAAATTACTTACAAATAAGTTCATAAAGATTTATATAAATGCATATTTTTTATACCGTATAAAATAATATAAGTTTCTGAAATGTATGAATATGATTTGAACCCTTCTAACTTTTGGATGATTTGACATGTGATTTATTTTTAAAACACATTCTTATAGTATCTTCTCAACCAATCATTGGAGGAAGTATTTTAATATTGTTTTTTCTTTGTTTAACAGGAACAAACACCATATTTTTTGAAATTTCATAATGCAAGAACTGTACAAGCATATCCTGTTCCATTGGTTAAGTTCATAAGTTATATCAGTTAACACTTTCAGCATGGGCTCAGTCCCTGGGACCATCCTCGTAACCATTTTGTACTTGTTATAGTTTTCATGTTATAACTTTTAAATTAATAAGTGAACATTAACGAAATTTGGCAGTTTATCAGTAAACATTACAATGCTTTCATACACAAAATATGAATTTTTTTTTTTATATAGTCTTAAGGTTTGTAAAGCAATGTTTATCTCATGTCTTTTTTTTTCTTTTCACATGTTGCATATCTAACATGCAAAGTAATT